ATGTTTTGTTCTCTTTGAGATCCTAAAATCTCGCTTTTAGAGACTGGAAGGTGAGCTTTAGTAGTGATCCCCAGTAATAGGATAGTTTCCTGGGTTTTTTTAACTCAGCTTCCGAAAGAACTTTGAATGATAGCTAAGTTGTCAGTGCAATCAGTACAAGTAAACAAGTGTAGAAAGTGTAAACTGCCTTTAAACTCTCAAAGATTTTCTTTTTCAAGTTCAAATCTGAATTTAAGATCAGTAAAACTATTTTTGTCGTCACAAATTTTAAGGTGTCATCTTAAATTTCAATCACACTCTCATTCAGGAAGATTGGAGGTCTGCTTTTCCTTGCGTAGCATGTGAGTTTAGTATTAGATACACTAGTAACTCCTACAGATATATTTACACACAGAATTTAGATTATTGTTTCATACTGATTTTAGACTCTTTGCCTGCTGTTTGAGTACAGCTGCTGCATTTTCCTTTTAACAGCAAGGATCTCGAAAGCATAAATGAAACTTTCTCGTGAGATTAACTCATTATATGGGGAATACAAACATAAAACTTACTGGACTTTAGTCACAAGTTGAAACTATTATGTTAATCTCTGGGACAATGTACATTTTTTGAATAACTTACCAGCTTTAGTAAAGTAATGCAACCATACGCTTTCATCATGTGTTAATTTTCTGAATACCAAAACAGACAGACATCCTCCCTCTTGAGAAAAACAAAACACACTGTTAATTTTTTTGATTGATAAGTTAATCATGTTGAAACAGCTAAACTTGGTCACTTTGTTTCTGATCGGACTACACAAATAACTGGTTTTAAACAGTTGAGAGAATAGGTGTAACCACAGTTACTGCAGCTCACAAAGTCACACGATTTCTCATAGACTGCTACAATAGGAACCCTGTCATGACGGTTTAGTTACTGCCAGAATAACTTTTCACAGTGCATTTCTGTCAAACGGCATCAGTTGAGTATGCTGATTAAAACTGACCTTCAAAGTAAATAGGTGATGTTTGCTTGGTGGAGACATTTTAGTGTCAGTAACTTAACAAATCTGAGATGCTGTCTATGGGGCGAAACCTGCACTACATTTGTTAAAAGTCAATGAAAGATTTCAGTAGACAAGTATTGTAGAAACAATACTAAAGAACCTCTTTTATTACTCAAAATGGTCTCTGATGTGTCCCTAGAGTGGTATAACAGGCTGTACTCACATAGTCTTGTTCTGCTAATGATGTAGGCTCTTCTGGACAACTACTAGGTCTTGCATATAGAAAGAGGATAGCAACAGGGCTAAGAACCACTGGGGTACTGTGGCCTGATTTAGATTCTTTTTTTACCTGCAACTTTTACTGCTGAGGGAATAAATCTCTCAATGTATGGTCCCCATTGATACATTATGTAGAAGATAAGCTTGGTTTGGGTTTTTTTGTGCTTGCTTGGCATTGAGATTACTGTTTACTAAATTCTGTATTTTGTGCTTAAAACTTTCAAATCTCAAACTGTAAACTTTGAAGTCTAGATACTGTAAACTTCCTACCAGGAGAAACAGTGTGACTGCTATCTTTTTCAGTCATCTTAATTTGTAAATTATCAATTTGATCTCTGCTAGCCCCCAGATTATTTTTATACCTTTAATGTGAAGATAGTTCATATTTCTAAGTTGTGTATTATTTCCCCATATACAAATTATCATAACAGGTTGATGTATAACCAAGTAGTAAAACTGTCTTACATATCCTAGTGCTGAATATGCATATAAATAAAATTGACCTGGATAAGTGTGTGTAAATAAAAACTATCTGAATAATCATCTCCAAATAGGACATCAAGGTTAGTTTGAAAGGAGCTTTTCAGAATAATACGGTGTACATTTCTTACAAACTTAGGGCTATGATGTTTTGTTAAGCAAATGGTTGCCTTGAAAATGGATGCAGAAAGTTCTAAACTGGTAATATTCAAAAGATAATAAAAGATTTAGGAATTCAGAGTGTACCCTTTGGCTAAAATGTTTCTGAAATTCAGTCATTCTGGTACACTGTGATTAGCTATCTGAGTTTATATTGAACACATTATCACTTTATCTTAACACTTTCATACTTTCTCTTAGTAGTTGGTCTCTACAACTGGCATTGTTTAACACTCTAGATATTTATCAAGATTATAATATGCTGATTTTTGAATAATCCTAGGTCAGCATTTTATAGTTTCTAGTAGCTCTGTAAATAATGACAATATGGAAACAGTGTCATGTAATGTGGTTTTATCTAACATGGTTAACTGTTGAGTTGAAAGATGCTTTTAGGCTCTTGATTGTGACTCAGCAAGCCTTAGGAGTTGCTGCTGAGGAATGGATTCTCTTGCTGGTGGTTGCATCATTGTTTGGAACAGACTGCCAGTTTGTTGCCAGTTCTGAGCAGACTCCACCTGAAGTTATTACAGAAGAGCTGCAAAATGTGCTCGAGGTATTATAGGACAGGAAAATATTTACAGTAATAGTAAAACCTACACATGTTCAACTTTAAATATTAATGGGAAGTTTGGATATCTTAATGCAGTATAAAGCGTTATAGTGTGGTACCCGTGTCTAACATGCTTGAGATGTGAGGAGCAAATGATGATAGATACAGACGGATACAACGTTTTGCATAATAAATACACCACTTCAGATAGCATGCTGCCAAACAGGAGTATAGGCAGTGAGTTAGTTACCAGATGCCATGGCATCAGAAGTAAAACTGGGTTTTGGACTTTAGCATTAATTAAAATACTAATATTAATACTTTAAAAAGTTCCTAACATAACAGGGAGAAAAGAGGGAAAGATCAGGTCAGCATAAGATCTGATCATTAAGTAGATTATGGTAATAGCTTCCAAAATTCCAGCAAGGTGGAGGAAATGAACCTGAATTTGTTGATTGCTTAAAAATTATGTAATAATTTCTTAGCAGGTCTTTTAGGCCAGTCTAATGGCACCTGAAATTGCTCAGAGTTTTGCAAGTACTGATACCAGTTATTTATTGCAGGGTTTTTTTTGTGTGTGAGAGTTTGGTTTGGTTGGTTTTACACTAATATTTGTTAACTTGGCAGTATGTTAGGGGATGAAGCCCTGGAGACCCAAGTGTCTCTGTGTTCCCAGGACATAGCATAGCCTGGGAAGCAGAGTAGATGGGGGAGGAATCATGTTAACCCGTTGATATGGTGACTGTTCTAACCTTATACTCACTTGCTCTCCAAACTTTCCCTTCCCAGCATTAAGACCTTTTAAGTAGTGGTTCCAGCTGGTGACTTATTTCTAAAAGTTCTTACAGTTTTTATTGTTCGCTATGTTTTTGGCTTTGGAAGACTTTTTTTTCTCCTTCCGAAAGGATACTCCTTTTCTCCAATACTTCCTATAGTTTTGTGGGTCTGAGTCTGAAATTCTTCTCAAAATCATTGACTTAACAATGGCTGTGACTGAATTCCTTCTTCTAAGGTTTTGGAGTGAACACTTGACACAAGTAGATTAATTTGCTCTAATGTCTCTAGTGTGCAGAGTCAGTGCAGGTGGTCTTTGATATATCTACCTGAGCAGGTAGGAATTAGGAGAGGGAGAAATTACTGTAAGAGAAAATGTGAGTGGAGGAAAGAGACCACATAATGTGATACCCTTTTAGCTGAGTTAAACAGAACGAGTGTGAGGATAGGCACTGAGGAGAGGTTGACAGTCCAAGATAGGGTAGAGATGAACTAGGGCTTAAATGCAGGGATAAAGGTCAGGAGCAATGAAAGAAGAGTACAGTGAGTAATTAGTATGACTCGTATAGCAGTCTGGCCAGGGAAGAAAATACTAAAGGAGAGGAAAGGGAAAAATACTGAGGATAAATAGGGAAAAGTGAAAGAAATGAAAGTGTACTACTTTATCAAAGTGATGAAGACCATGCTAGACTGCCTTCTGCTTGCTGGAAAGAAATTTTGCCACCAAGATCTTGTTGAAAGTTTGGGCTTGTTGAGGGAGCATTCTGAAGTTTTGGTTTTTTACCCTTTGAGACTTTGGGAAGTGAAGACTGTTGCTGTAAACCCAGATGAAGAAAGTGGTCCTTGATGTCTTGTTTCTGCCTTTCTTCCTACTGCAGTCTGGCCTGAGTTTAGGGGGCAAGCCAATGAGGGTGTGCCTCTCTGTCTGTTTTACTGTTCCAGGATCTTTCCCTGTGATTTCTGGAGTGTGTTGGAGAAACACGTCTGAAACGTTCCTCCAGTTATTTTGATAGATTCCTGTTCTCACAGCTCTGGCTACTAGCTTGTTTCAGATCGGTTCTGAGAGGAGAATAAAGGAATTTGTCTCATTTTTTATTGGCTTTCCAGCTTAGTGATGCTAGACAAAATTAATTTTTTATAATGATATGCACTACTCTTATAAGGGTACTCAGAGCTAGAGAGAATATAGTACAAACTTATTATCTGTTTATAATTCTTACAATTCTTGGAACAGGTGCACATAGGATACTTCAAAGAATTGATGGAAATTTCAAGCCAACTCTTGAAACTCACTTCCACATAGCTGGACATCAGCCATTTTACAATCTCAGTGAAATGAGGGAGGAGAATTTTCTATTAGAAGTCAATGTCATGTATGAAGTAGAGAACTGGAATGAATGTTCATTACTTCAGATTAGTTCAGATCTAGTTTGCTTGCTTATAGCAGACAGCACCGGCATGTTTCTTCTAGAATGTTGCTTCATGGATTTGTTCATCTGAAGTTAATTCTGTGTTCCTGTTGTGTTGTGGTAGTAATTCCTAGACTTTTTGTCTCCTAGATTCTTGGCACTTTATGGGATTTTTTTACTACTGTAAATAGTTTTGTAACTTTCTGCAAGAAAAGGCTGTAATCTAGATGTGTGACTTACAGTTTTCTTTCAGGCACGAATTCTGAACTAAACATCAAGGTTATTTGATAAATACTCGAACTGGCCCAAGTCTTACAACATTTCTTTCTTGTTTCAGGTTTTCTTTGTAATTGCTGCCATGGGAAGATACTTGACTATGCTGTTGCTGCTGATGCTGCTGGTGCAGCATTTTGGAAACTGTGAAGGAAATCAAAGGCCACATCATGCTCTACAAATGCAATTTACACAAGTACAGTATAATGCCACTGTGTATGAGAATTCTGCAGCCAAGACTTACGTTGGGCATCCAGTGAAAATGGGCATTTACATTACAAATCCATTGTGGGACCTAAGATATAAAATTATTTCTGGTGACAATGAGAACTTGTTCAAAGCTGAAGAATATGTTCTTGGTAACTTTTGCTTTTTGAGAATACGGACCAAGGGAGGAAACACAGCTATCCTTAACAGAGAGGTGAAAGACCATTATATGCTGACTGTTAAAGCAGTTGAAAAAAATACAAATGCTGAAACGCGCACGAAGGTCAGGATACAGGTACTGGATACAAATGACTTGCGACCTTTGTTTTCTCCAACATCTTACAGTGTTTCCTTGCCTGAAAACACAGCAATAAGGACCAGCATTGCAAGAGTCAGTGCAACAGATGCAGATATAGGAACAAATGGAGAGTTCTACTATAGCTTTAAAGAAAGAACTGATGTGTTTGCTATACATCCAACTAGTGGAGTGGTAGTTCTAACTGGTAGACTTGACTACTCGGACACTAAGCGTTATGAGATGGAAATTCTTGCAGTGGACCGTGGGCTGAAGCTGTATGGTAGCAGTGGCATAAGTAGCATGGCAAAACTGACTGTCCATGTAGAGCAAGCAAATGAATATGCCCCTGTTATTACAGCTGTTATGTTGACTCCATCAGAATCAGACAAAGACCCAACGTATGCAATTGTGACCGTAGAGGACAACGATCAGGGTTCAAATGGGGAAATAGCATCATTAAATATTGTTGCAGGAGATGCACTTCAACAGTTCAAAACAGTGAGGTCGGTTCCAGGAGGTAAAGAATACAGAATAAAAGCCACTGGTCACATTGATTGGGACAGTCACCCTTTTGGATACAACCTTACCCTTCAAGCTAAGGATAAAGGGAATCCCCCACAGTTTTCTTCTGTAAAAGTTGTACATGTGACATCACCTCAATTTAAGTCTGGCCCTGTCAGATTTGAAAAAGAGATATATAGAGCTGAAATAAGTGAATTTGCCCCTCCAAACACACCTGTGATAATGGTGAAAGCTGTGCCTAGTTACCCACATTTAAAATATGTATTTAAAAACACACCAGGCAAAGTGAAATTCAGTTTAAACACTCACACTGGTCTGATTACCACGTTAGAACCCATAAAAGCACAATATGCATCTCATTTTGAACTTGAAGTTGTGACAAGTGACAGAAGAGCTTCTGCAAAAGTATTAATTAAGGTACTAGGCATGAATAGCAATCCTCCTGAATTTACTCAGACATCCTATAAAGCCTCCTTCGATGAAAATGTGCCCATAGGTACCAGTGTCATGAGAGTAAGTGCAAAAGACCCTGATGAAGGGGAAAATGGTTATGTGACCTATAGCATTGCAAACCTAAATCCTTTGCCATTTGCGATTAACCATTTCAGTGGGATTATTAGTACCTCAGAAGACTTGGATTATGAATTGATGCCAAGGGTTTACAACTTAAGGATTCGTGCTTCTGATTGGGGTATACCATATCGTCGAGAAGTTGAGGTTCCTGTTACTATTATCTTAAATAACTTGAATGACAATATACCTCTGTTTGAGAAAATAAATTGCGAGGGAATAATCCCCAGGGATCTTGGTGTTGGAGAACAAATAACAACTGTCTCTGCTATTGATGCTGATGAGCTGCAGTTGGTGAGATACCAAATTGAATCTGGAAATGAACTGGATTTATTTAGCCTAAATCCAAATTCTGGAGTACTTTCACTCAAACAATCACTAATAGATGGCCTAGGTGCTAAAATGTCTTTTTACAGTTTGAAAATTACAGCTACAGATGGAGAGAACTTTGCAAAACCATTGTATATCAACATAACTGTAGCTAGTAGTCGCAAACCAGTCAACTTGCAATGTGAAGAAACTGGTGTTGCCAAAATGCTTGCAGAGAAACTCTTACAAGCAAATAAATTGCACAATCGTGGAGAAGTTGAGGATGTTTTCTTTGATATTCACTCTGTGAATCTTCATGCACCTCAGTTTAGAAGTACTCTCCCCAGTAGCATTGAGGTAAGAGAAGACCAACCTGTGGGCTCCAGCATACTATTTATGAATGCTACTGATCCTGATACTGGCTTCAGTGGAAAGTTAGTGTATGTTATTTCTGGAGGTAATGAAGACAGTAGTTTTGTTGTTGATATGGAAAGAGGAGTGCTGCGAATTTTATCTCCCCTTGACCGAGAACTGAGAGATAAATATACTCTCAATATTACTGTCTATGATCTTGGAATACCACAGAAGTCTGCCTGGGCTCTTCTAGATATAAAAATTTTGGATGCTAATGACAACCCACCAGAGTTCTTCCAAGACAGCTACTTTGTTGAAGTAACTGAAAACAAGGAGCCAAACAGTGAAATAATTCAAATTGAAGCTACTGATAAAGATTTGGGGGCTAATGGAGAAGTGAAATATTCTCTTCTTACAGATACAGACAAGTTTATTATTAATGCTGTGACAGGAGTTGTGAAAGTTGTAGAAGTTCTGGATCGTGAAGAACAGCATGTCTATTTCCTGAAAATAGAGGCTAGGGACCAACCTACTGAAGAACCACAATTATTTTCAACAATTATTTTGAAAGTGTCTGTAGAAGATGTTAATGACAATCCTCCTAAGTTTATTCCTTCAAATTATCATGTGAAAATTCGAGAAGATCTACCTGAGGGAACTATTATTACGTGGCTAGAAGCCTATGATCCTGATTTAGGCCAGTCAAGTCAAGTACGCTACAGTCTTTTGGACAGTGGAGATGGCACCTTTGATGTTGACAAGCTAAGTGGAGCAATACGTATTGTACAAAGACTGGATTATGAAAAGAAACAACTTTATAACTTGACTGTGCGGGCCAAGGACAAAGGAAAACCCATTTCGCTGTCCTCTACCTGTTACGTTGAAGTTGAGATAATTGATGTAAATGAAAACTTGCACCCTCCACGGTTTTCCATATTTGCAGATAAAGGTTTTATAAAAGAAGATGCCCCTGTTGGCTCCTCAGTAATGACAGTATCTGCTTATGATGAAGATGCAGGGCGAGATGGGGAGATCAGATATTCCATCAGAGATGGATCTGGTATAGGCGTTTTTCGAATAGATGAAGAAAAAGGTAAGGTGGCTTTTTATTATTTTCATATACCAAGTAAAATCATGTGCTAACAAAGATAAGAAAAGCAGTATTGTCACAGTTGACGTTGATTTCGTTAGCACAAAAAGATGTCACCAAAAATACGTCTGCCACTTCGATAAAATTATATTTGTACATTTGATAAGTAATTTTTCTCTCATGTCCCCATTTCTATCCAGTCTACCTAAAGACATTCTTAGGTCTTAGAATCTGTGCCACCTAGCACAAATAAGAATACCATTGATACAAAATGAAGGTCTGCCTCACGTGAACCTTACTGTTGTGTGGTCAGTGGACTGTGAAGCCAAGGCAGCAAACTGCTTTCTGCAGGGATTTTCATGCTTCCTAATCTTAAGTGAAGTATCTTTTTCTTCATTTACTGGAAGTGTGCATGTATGTTATTGCCACACCTGCTGGTTTTGTTAGCTGTCTTTGAGTTGTTGTTAGAGGTGCCCATCTAGAAGTTAGTAAGCAGTGCCTTTTTCATCAAAAGGCTTCTGCCAAAGAAAGCACAAATGCAGCCTTAAAAATCCCTTGTATAAGTGAAGCAGACTGAACTGTTGACTTCATTTACAGTGCATAAACTAATGAGCACCTGGGAAAATTTTTCTAATGCCATATATTCAGAAGAAGCATAATTTTGTTTTCAATAAAATTCTGGTGCTGGCTTCCAACATTTTAGTTGGATGCCTGTGTAGCTACCCATTCATTTATATCTCTGATGAAGTATTGAAATTGAGCTAGTATCTAAGCATCTTAAAATAAATTGAAGAGGAATTTGGTGCAAAATTTGGTTACAGGTTACATGTAGGTAAATGGTGACATATGTAGTTGATGTCTTACAGGAAAAAAACTTGAAACTGAAAATAAATGGCAGTCATATCTGATTCATCCAGTGGCCATTCTGTGTGTTATACATGTATCTCCCAATTGTGAACATGGGTAACAGAGACTCATGAAGTCACTTTACTCTTCAGGGTTCAGGTGAACAAAGTATTAATGGCAATTTTTTTTCTTGTATAGAAAGTCAGTTATGATATTATGAAGTTTGTGGCTAAGGAACCAGCTCTATACGTTGAAATGTAGCATTGCTTTGCTTAGCTTTGCTTTTAACAAAGCACGTAGTTAAGACTGTGGAACAGGTTTTCTAAAAATGGAGAATTGAGTACTTTCCAAGACCAAGTAGTTTCACTTTAAGGCATTTGGTATGTGTGCAGACTGTCCATTAGTGTATCATCATGACTTTGTTTTGACATAAGTACATTCAAGTTTATTGTGCATTAAAATATCTCAGAAGTATTTAGTTGTCCTACAGAATGACTCTGAGTTTGGCAGTTTATTGTACTGCCAAGTAGTGAGAATGAAAGACTGAAGAAATATTTTAGCATGAATCTGTAGATGTGTACCTGTTTCTGGGTATGTGGATAGGTATGTGTATTTTTGTGATGCTCCTACCATGGCAAAATTAGTTGTCTGCATGTGCTGCCTCTTTTGGCACAAAGCTGATTTGCTTTACTGACCAACTGGTGTGAGTTTAAGCAAGCTCCTTTTTATCTGCTGGGTTTACAAATTTGACAGAGCTTGAGGCAAAACCAGCTTCTATTTAATAATCTTGTCCAGGACAGTGGCTCTGTATTTTCAAGGCAGGGGAGAAGCACTGTCTGTATTTATATTTGGTGTCTAGTGTTTGCAGTTCTTCAGGGATGAAGTAGAGGGATTTGGTGGGAATGGTGTGGTGGTGAGGAAGGGTTGCTAGTTTGTAATCTTAGTGAACAAATTCCACTTACAGCACCGGTGTGGGGAAGAAAGTGTGTATTTGTGTTGTTTGGATGTGTTTTTTCTATCTTTTCTATCAAACAGTGATCTGAGTGAACTGAGTGAAGAACATGGAGTATCTACAAACTTGACAATGTAGCTTAAATTTTGTATTTTTTTCTAATTTTTTTATTTTGTAAGAAGCCATCAGAATTGTTACAGAAGGCACTCTGTTCTGCAGTGTCTGAATATTTTTCATGTTCTTCAAAATGGACTGGCCTTGATACAGGGAGCAGACTGATAATTAGTCAAGAAAGCACATTAAAGAATTTGTGAAAGAGGAGATCTGGCAAGCAACTTGGTAACTCTGTCAGCTTGCCAAAGGGCTCTTCTGACTGCCTTTGAGTTACATGTCTCATTCTGCTGTCTTGAAAAGCATCATACTCTAGTTTGAGTTCAAAGATAGATAAACTGGATCTAAGAAGTTATTTGAGTCAACACTTAACTCTTCAGTGGCGAAGAGGAATCCTTTTATGCCTGGCTTATAAGGAATTAAGGACAACAATCACATTTGCAGAAAGACTAGATGATGATGACGATAGAAGAATCAAATAGCTAGTTCCATGTATTGAATTTTTGTTGACTTTCAGGTTCTCTTTTCCATGTTTATTTTTTAATAGTGGAGTTCAAAAGGTGTGAAATTGTATTAGTGTTTGATATTTTACCTGTAATTCTGGAATTTTCACGGGAGAATTTAATATATCTTTGCCACTAAGTCTTGTTTTCCAAGACTTTTATTTGGTTTAGGCCAGTGGGTTTTCGTTATGTTATTTGCAGTGATGTCCAAAGCATTAGAAGTTAATCTCTTAACAGGGAACCCTCGTGCCCCCATACTCCCAAGCTCAGGAGTCAACTTTGATTGCTTTGTTGCCTGATTGCTTTGATGCTTTTCAAGAAGACACAGAAAGAAGTATATTAGGGGTAAATTTGGTAGTGAGTCATAATTTAGCTTTCATGTTAGTATTCTTTAGCCTGAAAAGCCTGTAAAGGCAATAATGATAAGGAAAGAAGAGCAAGATGATAGTTAAGAGGTTTTGAAGCCAGTATTTTTCCTTTCCTAAGCTAAAAGGAAGTGTTTTTCACATGAAGAGTAATAAAGTCATGAAACTCATTTCCTCAGGAAGTTATAGAGATTGAAAGTATGGCTAAAGAAAATAAATGGTACTAATGAGATTATTTCGAGGTTCAGCCTCATACTATCTCCAGCTCATAAATTGTTACTGGAAGCCAAGTGGGTAAGGGGGAGAGATCAGAGGTCATCGCTCAGTATATGATTCAGAAGTATGACAGTGCATTGTGACTGTTGTTATACAGAGATAGAATTGCATAATAAATGGAAAGGGTCTTATAACAGTATGAGAGGGAAAATGTTAAAATGAGATTTCTGTGCCTTGAATTTATACAATAAAGCAATTTGTTTACCTTTAGGTGTGTGTTGAGGAGAACTTGGAATTTAAGATAGCTTGTTATATGTGAGCTAGACTGAAGTCTGTAAATTGAGTTGATCAATTGGCTATATAAATTGCCTACTAAAGCAGCTGTAAAATATCTTCCCAAGGAATCTGATAGGGAGTTGAGCACATTGGTATGTATTAATAATAGAATGCATTGTGTTGATGCAGTTCCCAGCATGCCACAAAAAAACCCCACTGTACCATCTAAATCCCATTAGCATTGAGCAATAAAAGTGAGATAAATCATGCCAATACCATGCTGCTACTTCCATTAAAAAAAAATCCAAGGAATGATAGAAGCAATTGCTGGAGGAAAACCTAAAGCAGAAACTTTGTGGAACCAAGGCAATACTGAAACTTCTTCCTTCCTTGTCTCAGTTTTCATTCCAGTAGGCAAGCAGGGAAAAGGACAGTGTCTTCCTGTTTACTTTCTGGTTGTCAGATATAAGGATGGAGTTATTTTTGTTAACTATTTATACTCCTCAAAGGTTAAATGAAAGATGTAAGCTCTAGGTTGTGTTAGGAAGAACTCTTAGTACTTCTTTCAGTTGTTTAGGTTGGTGACCAGTGTTGCTCACTGGTCTGGATGTAACTATCATGAGAGCACCAGCATGTGGTGGGCAAGTTTCCATACTGATTTTCAGCTGTAAAAATGAGAACTGCTGCTAGTTTTGTTCAGCGTTCACTCTTCTGCACAGAAATTTTTCCAAACGGGTTACTCTTCTTCATGAGATATTAGAGCTTCTAGCTTGAGAGCTGGTTTTTTATCTTGTTTCAAGGTTGTTTTCTTCTAGTTTTGGTTTTCTTTCTGGTGCTCAAAGTTTAGATAGCTGAGGGAGCCAGCAGTCTGTCTGTGTAGGTGCCTTGGGTCATTAAGCCCCAGAAAGGTCTCCGTGAAATGTTGATAGAAGATGGGAGGCCATCTGGAAACCTGATGTTCAGAAATGAAGGAAGTTTTAAGGAATGAATTCTGTGGTGTCCTGTTGTTTCTAACCAATTGGGTATTAGAGCAGTTGCAGTTACAACCCTTGTACACGCAGATGCTGCATGCTACATGTAGGCCCTGTGCAGTAAGGTTTCCCATGATGACAGTTTGAGTTATTTTATAAGCACATTGGTGTCAGAAACTTAACTGCTACTTCACCTTGCAAGGCTACTAGCAGGTGTCTTCTAAAGTTCTGCAGTTGAGGGTATTTCCCAGCACATAATCTAATTCCAGAATGGTATTGTCTGATGTGATTGTCTGAACCTCATGCATGAAAACCTTATTACTTGTGTATTACTGTTATTTCAGTAATCCAAGTTTAAGTTATTAGACCATGAGTGTTACACAGTAGCAGTAATTCTGCTTTAACAGAAACAATAAAGTCCAAAGTGATTAATTTGCTGACTTAAAAAGATGTACGTATGACTGTGTGTTATTACAACAAAGATCTGTCTAGCCTGATACGCTGCCTCCAGTAGCATAGGCAGGGCACACACATGACACATCCTCCTAATACCTTCCCAGTCTCTGGTTCTTTTTTACTGGGGGAGTTCTCGAGTCACATGTGGTTTATAACATTTAGCATGTTTATCTTGTGTAGTCTTCCATTGGAACTGTGTAATTTTCAAGTTTAGCCTTGCTACCATGATAAGGAAAGATGATTTGTTTTGGTAAAGAATATTAAGGAGCAAGTTAAAAAATGTTAACGGGGGCATGTGGAAGAAAAT